CGTAGAAAATTCACAAATAAGCCTAACGAAGACTATTGTATCGTTAAAAATTATTTTTTTATTTTGTACAAACAAAATAAATATATTGAAAAATATAAAAACAATAAAAAACTTTATAACATTCGTTAATTTAGTATCAAAATCGTAAAATATTTGAGTAGCCCAAGACATAGCCAAAGATTGCAGCGCCACAGCACTAGCGAAAATTTAAATTTGCTGACTGGAATTTTTTCGGATAATTGACTTTCGGATAATCGAGCTCTACTGTACATGTTTATAGAACACTCGGGTGGCGTTTGCGGCCATATGTTCCTAAGTAAATGTGATTTGTTTTTGTATTTCTGATCTACTTTTAAAGTTTGTCTTTTGAATCACCCTGTATAAATTGATTTTCTAGAGTTAATAATTAAAATTATTATTACGCAGTTTCCGTCTCGACTCGTTGCCACAGCTGGAAAATATTGTTCTTCCTGAAATGTAGAATAGTTTTCCATACTCCTTTCTAAGCTCCTAAGACTGCCGGATGGCCGAGCGGTCAAGGTGGCAGCCTACCACTCTGGGAACTCAGAATCGAATCCGGACGGGCCGGTGGTCTGTCCGGATATGTCGTGTCCCATTCCTCACCACCCGGCCGCCCCATTGTGGGCCTGGCTGAACTCGTAATGGGCTTGCTTAGTGCTCACAGGGTGGAAGGAGTTGAAAAAATCCTCTGTCCTAAATAAATTACATTTTTCAGAAAAACTCAATTCTTTTTTTTCAATTTTGTTACGGATTAGCAATAAGCTAAAAACTATAATTTCAATAAATTCAAAGCATCTATAGTTTTAAACATAAAACTAAGAAAGTAATTTAAAAAATTCAGTTGTTACACTTTTATTTATTTAGTTTTCCCATAATACATATTAGGAATAAATAGATGACTGTATGCACAATTCAACATTAAAAATATATTTTTGAAACAACAACAAATAATATTCGACATCGAACGATTTTTTTTTTAATTTAATCGCCGAAAATAATAATTCTTTCGACAAAATATAATATATAATAATATATTTATACTTTGATCTAGAAAGTAGAGAAGTTAAGCGCATGTTGCCCATAGATCTTATTAAAATTGGCAGCCACTTCGTTTTTTCGATAGCACCTGGGCACTTCCATCATCTTTTTCAATCCCAGTGTGTTTGCAACTTCGACAGCGTGGGGATTACAATCTATGGCCATCATGGTCAAGCCATCCTCCAACGTGGTAGGAAACTTTTGGATTAAGTGCCATAATAATATTTCGGCTACTTCTCTACTATCGGCATACAATGGTCCTACCAGCGATGTTCCTTGTATATTTTTAGTGATGGAACCGTATCCGCATACACCACGCTCGGTTTTGGCAGCTACTGCTACACTTCCAGTTTCGTTGGTTGATAATCGAACAATTTTCGATCTATCGAAACCGTGCACTTTACAGTCGTAATCGATAACGTCGTCTAATATGGATTCGTCAATGGTTTTCACTTCTACGGATTTCAGGCTCTTGAGTAGTTTGTCAGGATAGATATCGTTCGATTCGTAAACTATTGATTGCCATTTTGTGACTATGGAAAATCCTGCCAGATCCCTGTAAGTGTGCAGATGTTCTGGAACTGAATTGAGACCGGCATTTCTCTCTCCTACGTGTTCCATGGCGACTTTCCAAATTTTTAAGCCAATGCCCTTCTTCTGATATTCATTTCTGACTGCGTATAAACCCAAAAACGATAGATTTTGATTTAGATTGACTGCTGAACAAACGCCATAAACGAAACCTGAAATAAATTCAATACTAAATATTTTAGAACTCAATTTTTTTAAATAAATTTATTAACTCTAAAAAACATTATACCACACTTAATTTATCATTCTGGCAAAACGTTGTGTATAGATATAATGAAAATCGTAAAATCATACTTAAACTATGCTTCTAAAATTGTTAAAAATTATTATAACTGTAAGCTACAGTATAAAATTAATGTTGATTCAAATCAAGGAATCAAAATTTAAAAATTATTACAGATTAGATTGTAATTTCCTTTTTCTTCTTTTGGAAACGGTTCTCTAACATTAAGATTCCTTCTCTTTCTCTCCAAGATATGTAAGGATTATCGAAAATTTGGATTGGAAAATTATCCACGGTTGTTAAATTAAAGAAATTAAATTAAAATTCTTTCTATTCAGTAATAAAATAATTTATGCAATCGAAGAATATTCGGAAAACTTTCTACAGTTTAAACAAGAATTTAAAAATACTTTAACGGCATCATAATTGAGTGGTAGAACACCCGAATATTGTTACGAAAAGTTTGGATTCAAATCTAATACAAAGGAAACTGTACGAGGCGGGGATACGTTTCGCGTTATAGGAAATCGCGTTTCGAGACTTGCATTATCATACAATTTTATGTAAGTTTAAATCGAGGTCTAGAAGTTGAAGAAAACGTAGACACCTGGACGACAAAATTAGAATTTTTTGTGTGTACTAATCGCAATTTTTTTAATCGTGTCATACGAATTCGCTTTATACGAGAGTTCACTGTACAGTACATATCTTTCATCTAATTTTACGTGAGCGAAAGGTGTTAGATTTGTGGATAAATCCGATCACGCGTCATTCCGCAACTCACACGTTGGTTATTTCGAACCAACCAAAATATCCATATTATATAAAATTAAGATCGGGTCGTTCTTGTATGATAACACCGTAGCATTGACATAGGAATTGTATAATCACTACGGAAATTAAACTACAGGTATCTTTTGCTTAACGCGGGATTTGATTAACGCGCAAAATTGCAGCAATCCCTTTATATACGCGGCAGAAGTTTTAATTTACGAAACTTTACCTGTTGTATTTTCTTAATATAGATACCTTATTTTGATTCACACGATTTTTATATAAGCAGTAGGATCGAGGGATTAATTAACCGCGTTAATCAAGGGATAATTGTGATTAATTTTATCCTAAAATGTTTTTATTATTTGCAGATACTGTACTGCTGTACAGTTTCTAACAGTGCACCTTCCGGTTTCTTTAACGTACGCTCTTTAATCAGTCTAAAGACATGGCCGGATGACCGAGAGATTAGAATGGCTTACCGCTCCATGAATCCGGAATCGAATCTGGACAGGTTGAAAAACCAAAGAAATTTTCGGGAAGTGGTACGTCCGGATATGTCGGGTTTAGTTATCACCTGGCTGTCTCCACTGTAGGTTTGGCCGAACCCATAATGGGCATACTGAAAAGATGCTCTTAGTGTTTCAAAGTAAAGTTCTAAAAAAAGCCAGTCTAAAAATGATACAGTACAGGCCTATTGATGATTCATGACTAGTGTTAAGGTTGAAAAACCTACAAAGACACGTTAATGAACGCGTTATTGCCTGGATCTCCAGCGAACGTCCAAATTCCTATTCGTGAATGTTTGTTTAGTTAAGTCACGGTAACGCAACACTTAGGCGATCTGCCTAGTGGGAATGCCTCTCGGGAGGTATTTTTAAGGGTAATTAGCACCTATTCAGGCGTTACAGACGTGGAGAAAACCCGGAAAACTCCACGTGGCCAGCCCAGTCTGGCAAAACGCGAACTCAGGACCGAAATCTTCAGTGTTCAGGGAACGAATCGGGGCCCACCGCTTGGTCATTGGTGGGTAGGTTTCCTGAAATACTAGTACCCCGGATTATTGTCGAACAGTTTTGAATTAGCGACCATTATTTTTTAAACTCTCCGTCCTGTGGGTTACCTTTTCTCTTACCCATCGCGGGTTCGGCCAGACTCACAATGGGGGCAGCCAGATGCTGAGGATCACTTTTGAAAAACGGGGATCGATCCCGTGGCGGAACGGTATTTCAGAGTACCAGATTAACAGACTTCTGTATTAATCACCACAATAACACCCTAAATCATGGTGATGGCCTGTGGAGCAGGTTGAAAACGTTCATTGATGTAAAAGATTTACTCTGGGATTTCAATTGTTGTTGTAGTGATTAAAACTTTTATCTGAGTGTTTATTGAAACTTCTGTATTTTCAAATTTCTTTCTGACTAACCAAGATCATGGATACATCATTGTAACAAAATTTTTTACCTAATTTAGCGTAATTCTACTAGTATTCTCAGACGATTTATGAAGTACCTCAGTCAAACCTCGATGCAATGCTCTTCTAAATAGTGCCACTGTTCTCGTAGATTATCAACAAATACTTGTAACCGAACGTGCCTGATAAATATTAAATAGAGAAACCTTCAGCAGCTGTAAATTACTAGCTGTACAAATTTGCATTGCAAATGATTTGTTAAGTGGTATTATCATCAAAATCACTTGACTTCAAACTCTCAATTACAAATTTGTGCGTAGGTCTCGTTGCTATTTATAATTCTTATCTCTGGCGGTACTTTATTCCAGTGCCATACTTTATTTAGTTTCAATTTCAGATAAGAGCAAATAGAGGAGTTAAGTCGAAGCTTGAGTATTGTTAGGACAGACGTTAGTCTCAAACGAGTGCAAACTTCAATGAATTGCACAGATAGTCGGCAAATTATTAAGTTTTTTCATGTTACGCGATTTTAAGCTCGGAAGAGAACCATAATAAAATTTTACGTTAAAATTAGAACTAAGTAAAACTAAAGAAAAATCAGTGACGGAAACGCACGAAACGTTGAGAGGCGTTTGGAGATTCTGCTTTATCAAGATTATATCAGCGACACAAACGTTTTACAGAACGCAGAGAATCGTTTAATAATGATAAAAGAAGCAGGTCCGTACCGTGCTATGATGCAGAGATGCGGCCGCATCAGGCGGCACCGTAATGGGGCGGCATAAGCAGCATTTAAGGGGTGGCATAAGCAGCATTTCGAAGACTTGCATCATACTGAGAAAATCTACCTCACGGCCCTGAAAAGAAGTTACTGCAAACACACAAATCTGTATCGCATTGAGTAATTTTTTGGTTGAGGACTGCACGTTAAGTATTTGCATGCTTGAACAGTTGTTAACAATGAATCGAGAAAAAGAGAAAGATTGGCAAATACGTAGTACGTGCAAGCGTTTTGCTATGAATTTTTGTTTTTTTTTAACAGATGATATGTTGGTTCGTTAAGATGGTTAATTCGGAAATTGTTTTTTGTAACGAGTCTTCTGTTACGTTTTAACAGATGGGTCATATATAAAGCTTGATGTTTTACATGTAACCCGGAGACCAAGCGAGATGGCGTTCTGATTGGCTCCAAATAACCCCCAAAAAAAGTACGAGTGAAAGAAATCTCTCAGAAAGACGTTATTGACTAATGCCGAAAAAGAATCCGTTCCAAAGGGCCAGAGAGTAAATGGAAAATTTTACCTTAATGTAATGGATCGAGTTTTGAAGTCACATTGGACTTAAATTCCGCAAAATTTCGTTTGGTGCACGACAATGCATCAGCGCATTTGTTGGCAATTGTTACGCAGTTCTTGAGGGGTAGTTGCAATGACCATCATCTCTTAGTCGCCATATCTGATCCAAGCGGACTTTTTTGTTCTCCAAACAAAAAAAAATTAAAATTGAAAGAGCAATGTGTGTGACAGACGAGTTGATGATGATCCCAAAAAGTCCCATCAAACTCCTTTAAATCGCTACACAGTCGTGTAAAATATATGTTGAAGAGGAGATTCGTTGGTGGAGCTACATATTACTGTAGTCATATTTTAAAAACTTTTTATTTCGTTAAGTAATTTTATCGTCACACTGCATATTCCACGTAACTGACTAGGCATAAATTTTGTAGATAAATTGAATACCTTTAAAGAATAATGTTGCATAATGTCTTTTCCAAGTCATGTTTTAAGGTTTTTTTTTTTTGTAATGAATACAGTTTAATGTACTGTATCGTATTACAACTGACTAAAGGAATTGATTTTAATTCATTAAAAATTTATCACCACAATAACTTCTACAGACAATAAAACTAAAATAGATATACAAAATTAACGAGTTTCTAAGTAAAAAAAAATCGCTTAGAGCACATTATGCGCTATATGACACCATAACATATACTGTACAGTGCATTACAATAACCTTATATGGAAACGAACAATCCGCCATTAAACGAGAGGAACCATAGTTAATTAAAAGACTTCCGAAAACAAAATACTCGAGTCATTGCATTCACTTGACTCGAGTATTTTTTGACGTTTTCTTCGGAGAGTTCTCAACCAATTCAGTAAAAAAAAAAAAAAAAAGCTAAGATATAATATAGAACAGATGGGAGAAATAATGTAACTGTGCCAAACACATTTAAAGGGAAAAAGTGATTAAATTTAAACAATTATATTTAAATTAATAATTAAAAAGCTTTTATCATCAATAAAACAGTTCACACTATAATTATTTTTTTCGATTTATCTACTACGTTATTCAATATTTTATTTATTAAGCAATTACAATGCAGTTTACATGGAAACTTCCATTTTTACGTAAATAACGTAATTTTTCTTTAATCAGTTAGCAAATATTTACGTATCTGCAGTTTCTGTACATTTTAATAATAATTTTATTTGAGCAGTATTTTAGAATCTTATTATTATTTAAGATAATTTTCTTATGAAACGAATATATTTTAAACCGAAATATACTTCTAAATAGGTATAAAATAACATCAGGCCTCATTGAATAAATCGTGTTATGTAAACAGAAAATGAAAAAAAAAACGAAGTGACCTTTAAAAATTGGCATTCACTATTTTCGACTAAACATTTTTAGTGTATTCTATTTATTTTTGAAAGAAAAGAAATTTGTTTCGATTGAAGTCTTACCAATGAGGGATCAAAATAGCATGTAATGTATTGTAGAACAATGAGATTGAAATACATATTTGTACCTGTTACATACGAAAACATCTCGCAAGTTTGACTATAAAACAGTTGGAAAATAATTATTGTATTTTCCGAATATTGCATTATTAGATTACACTAGGTCTCTTGCTAATCCGCTATTCTTTGCACGGGTGATGCCTGATTAGAGACTGTATGTATGCCTAAGAGTAATGAATGACGTAAACTGTTGTCCATTAATATTATTAATATTTTTTTTTGGAGACGGGCGGCCAAATAATACGGCACGTTGACATGCAATACTGTACACGCAAGTAAACGCAGAATAAACAGGAAAACAGACCGACATGCTAACATTTTCATGGAAACGGATATCCGGTAATTGAAAGAAAGATTAGCAAGAGAGTACAGTATTTCACCCCCTCTTTCTTTTAAAAGTTCGAATTCCGAAGAAGAGCAAAAAATAATTTATTTACAAAACTCTGTGTTCTGTTTCAATATATGTAAATTTTTACGTAATTTAACGTAAGAAACGAATCATTTTGTTTGATATCTTTCAATTATTAGTATTAGATTTAGCTTAAAATTTATCATACACCGAATATTCTTAGATGAAGCCTTACATTAATCTTGGATATTTAAAAAAAAAAAAATGATGATAACGCCATTTTTAATTATTTTATATGGCGAACTTTTCATCTCAATTCGATAGCACTGTATACGATTTTACGGCGTACTACATATTTTATTCTTTTCGTGTAGAAAGATAAGCAAATGATCCATACAAAAGAATATTTCTGTAAGAAGAATTGATCGAATATCCTACTTTTCATATCTTCCTTTCAATTGAATGATTATTCGGATCTTTATAGTGTTGTTTACAGCTTCTTTAATAGTTTACATCAGTGAAGAACATTGATTTTTTTTAAACGGGAGACAAAAATTCTTTAATAATAATAAATATTTTCGAATAAATCTTTTTCCCTCCATGCCTAATGCATAGAAACACGTTAGAGAAATACTAAAACATTCGCATTTGTTGGTCCACTTAACAAATTTACACACGAATTACGTTCATTCATATTGCATAAACTAAGTTTTAAATTAATTTTTTTTTCTCTTAGTATATAAATTTTCAGAAATTAAAGTTGCCACTTTGATAGAATAGCAATTTCTATATCCTTATAATTTATATCTTCACATTAAATATCGTTAGGAATCCTACATAAAAAATAAAATTATACTCTAAAATATAATATCTTGGCTTAAATTTAGGGTTTTTTTTTCGTGATTTAAGATTTATTTTAAAGACGTTTGACAAATTAAGTCAAATTCGCTAACCGTATCATTAGTAGAAGCTTAGAAATAACTAAATTAAAAGGAATTTGTAGACAATTATGCTAAACGAGAAGAGATTAGAATGGAAGAAGAGGATTAATGTCAAAAGTGAGTCATTAATTTTTGACAAGATCACGGACGAATCGTACAGTACTTTCGAAAGAAAGAATCCTGTAGACGGGCTGCACTTATTTTGACAGATTATATATATTTATATTAGTGGAATCGAGAAAGCACTCATTGTTTAGGAGAGAAAGAGAGAGAGAGAGAGATGCATGTCGTCGTCATGGCAACGGCTTGTCATTTCGGTGGCATAAACGGCCCGGCGGATCATTTTCTTGTTTATTGCATTTTCTTCCCCCCTCGCAGTAACGTGTTACGAAAAAAGGTGACCGAAAGTAAATTAAGACATACAATATGCTACTTTGATTTATTTTATTTAGTAATTCAAACAACTAAAGATTTTAATAATTAATCATCAAATTTCGAAGCTAAATACCAAATATATAAACGTTTGAATTCGAAATTATCCTATTGACAACGCAGAAAAATAAGAGGTAAAAATGATAAGAGGAAAGCAATACAGGGAGTTAAAGTGAAATATCGATTATCGGAAAGGATTTATATTAAAATATTGATGCGGTTTGAAGCTTAAAACTGCATTCGTATCTGTTTACGTAAACACACAAGTTACGAAAATTGAAATAATACGCGTTTTTTTTAAAGAACATTACTTATAACTAAGAAGATAACAACCAGTTGAATGATTAAATTACTAACGAAATTAGCTACATTCACTCGTCTAACTTGTTAAACGAGGAAATATTCAACGCCTGTTATTCGATAATAAATAAACTAAACTCGATTTCTATTGTAAAAATTGCATTATAAAATCAAAAAAATGATTATTATTATTTTTTACCTTCATCATTGGCGGCAACATAGAAACCGTCGGGATCGAATCCGAACCAGGAATCGACACAATGTACTCCTTCGGCTAATCCGGTTTCCTTCCAAATATCGACTACTTGAGGTATATCTTTTTCCTCCATCTTTCTCACAGAATAAACTAGAGGATCGTTCGACGCCATGCTATCTTGTATCGCGTCTTACGCGAGACTGCGCCGTTTTATCCACCCTTCTTCTCTCCCGTCTGCACCGACCAATAAAAATTCTTTTAATCATCTGCGTGTTTATAGAACATAGTGGACGAACGATCATCCCCGACACGAGAAGGAACCAGGACGACTTAAACCGTCCACTCCGACAATTGTCGTTCGCATTTTAAAGCAATAAATTAATAAGTTTTTATTTTGTAAGGTCTAATTTTCTGCATCATTTATATATATATATATTTTTTTAAATACAGATTAACGGTGAAGATATTTAATCATCGCGAGACGTAACGTGACGTGGGAGGAATCGATTGATGGACAAAATTGAATTCCTAGCATTTCTAACTCGGAAGCGACTACAAAAGGGATTTAGCCTAAGTATAAATTATGCTCGCACTCTTAAAAAACTCCTCGCTATTGGTGATTAAAAACGAGATTTACAGATTTTTTTTTTTTTTAATTTTTCCGTCGATTTTAAAATCGAATTTGTATCCAACTTACATCAATTTCTTTCGAAATATTTTGACTGGTCGAAAAAAATTACTTGAGAAACTAATTTCCTATATTAAATTAAACATCACCTGACACATTTGTCATAGAAAACCAAGCAATAACGGATAATTAAGAGTCGATTTGCGGATCGATGTTTATATTGTCGGCAATATAGAAGATAGGAAATTGGTATTTCTGTATATTGAAATGCACGTTGGAGTTTCCCCTCCCCCTTCTTACATTTGCGGGATTACTTCTCGAAATATTAAATATATTGAAAAATATTAATAAAAGAAAAAAATGCTCTTTTATTCCTTGTTAGATAAACAAAAATATTTATATATGGACCTTTATCAAACGCTTACTGATATTTTATCGAGTAAAAAATAATTCGTTTTATCTATATTATAAAAACTCCAAGAATAGTTTAAGAAAAAAGTACCTTACTGCTAAAAACATTTGCAATATTGATTAAATGACATTCGGCATTTTTCTAGTCGTTTTTTGGATGCGAGAAAATTTATGATAAGAAAGAATAAGGGAAAAAAACTTATATGATAATGGCTACAGGAGGAGATGGAATACAATTTCACTAAATGATTTGAGACGAAACAGCTTTAGTTGCTATCAATTAGAAATGCATAAAATCGTCATCTAAAAGGTCTTTATCATCAATCTAAAAGGTCTTTATCAAGCACCGGAAATGCTGAGCTAAATGAAGTTACAGAAAATACTATGCATCACTATTCTAAGAGTAATCTATTTGTTTGAAGATTTTTTCCTTTGAGTATCCAAGCCACAATCATTTCATTAAAAATTTGGGAGTATCAGACATCCTTACTTTGATTTTTGCCTGTTGTATTATGTGGTTATGTAGGGTAATTACAACGATCTTTGTAACATTACAAAAGTCTTTGGAATAGCGTCCGTAACTACAGGACATATTGCATAAACTCCATTTACAGTATTTATAAATAATCGAAAAGACGACACAAAATTTTTCCATTTGACAGCCTATCGAAACAAGTGTGAGTATGATTGGTGATTGTCTATTTCATCAGCGATGCTGGACATCAGCGTGCATCATACTGGAAGAGCTAATGTTACAGAGGTGTCTTCGAGAAGGAGCAGAGTAGATACATTGCTCCTCTCTCTCTAACTTCAATCTTTTTTGGATATTTTAAGATTTTTACATCCCAAAAAATTTTGGATGCTAATCGATTCTCAATATATACTCTAATAACATAAGACTATAATTACTGATCAAATTCCAGAGTAATGGCACAATAATTCAAAAGAAAATAGATAAATAATATATGTAATTTCGATGCCTCAATAAGATAATTTTTCACTTGATATATACAATATTAACATACTAAATCTGAATATACCTCAACAGGATATAATTCATAAACTGAACAAAGAAGAAATCAATTTTAAAACATTAATCATGTAGACATGTCCCGTAATTCACGACTCACATTTTGATCGACTATGACTTTTTCATGAAGATAGAGTTGTTTTCATTTCTATATGTCATTAAGCTTAAGAACAAGGAAGTCAGTGACTGCCAGACATGCCAGAAAAAATGGCACTACGACTTACTTTGCAACAGCGAGTGCAATGTTTGTTTTCGGTTATAAAAAACATTTCTGAGGATTGTCGTCAGACCTGATTCCACTGGAATTTTGTGGAAATATTTAAAACACAAGGTGTATTGCCGTAAGACGGGTAATTTGGATGAACTGCTTGATGTCATCATTCAGGAATTCAATGCAATTAGTGATGATATCTGCCGGTGTTTCACTTTATTTGAAGGCGTGTATCAATCTTGGCGGCATTCAAATTGACTTTGCAATGGAGAATAGGAAGTAGATTGCATTGTAAAAAGAAACTTATCTATCTTGTTTCATTAGAAAGTTAAAATCAATCAAAATACGAGTCATGAATTATAAAACACGTTATAAATGTTGGTAATTATTAATTTATAATCAAAATAAAAGTTTGTTTATTCTTATCCTATTTAATCGTAATAAAGAAATTATTAAATTCATCACCTAAGTAACTTATTCATATAATTTCAGTAAAATCTAAAATATTTAAATCTGTATTCCTTGTTAATAGTATTATTTGAAACAAAAGGAAAAAAGTAATTAACACGGACATTATTATTGAAAAATAAGAAAAAAAAAAAAAGCAAATATAATAATAAAATTAATTTTGTATAATTTCTTCATATAATATACACTATATATTTCCAATTTAAACTTGAATTTTAGTAATATATGAAACTCATCTTTCAAAATTTATAGTAATTAACAATCAAAAGCGAGTATAAAGTTTTGATAATGAATTGAATATCAAAATAACTAAAGAAAATTAGTGTTTGGAAAATACAATTTTTTTTTGGTCTTGGACAATAAAAAAAAGGGAAAATATGTAATTGATTTATTATTAAATAAGTAAAATTTGTTTCATTTAAATACTCTAATCATATAGTTAATTCTATACCAAAATTTTTTAATAATCAGAAAAAAATGTTTATATATATATAAATTATTGTACAACAGTGCTGCCTTTGTTAATGTAGCTTAAACATACAACAATTATTGATAATTATTTACTGATTTCCTTGCAAATAAAAACAGCAGAGTTTACATTTAATTGAATGGAAAAACAGTACATAAGAACAATTTGTCTACTGCTTCTTTTTATCTATTTTCATAAAAAAAAAAAACAAAATATTAAAATATTATTATAGAAAGTCAAAAATATCACAAAATAAAGTTTTCAAGTCTCAAAAATCTTCCAAGTTACATTTATTATTCATGAATATCAAATTTTACTCAGGAGATAAAAACTGGAAGATTTAATTCCAAAACTATGTATATATGTATCGTACATAATATATATTTACTCTTTTATATAAACAAAAGGTGAAGGCGATTTTTACTTCTTTTAATAATTTTGAACATTATATAAAAACCATAAACAGTTAACAAGTGGAGGTAAGACATGGTCGTTATAGATTTCAGTAATCTTGTTTGTATGGATAAGCCTTGATGCAAACCTTTATTGAGCAAAGGGGAAAAAGCATGCTTCTCAAATGATTCCAAAAAAATTGAAGTTAAAAAATTCCAAGTGACTTATGAGTAAGTTTACATTAGAATACATTATCAAAGACTACAGTTTGGTAGGAGAATTTCTTACTCATATTCGTGAGTTTGCCAATTCTTGTCTCAACAAGCAAGCTATGTTTCAAATCAATACAATTTTTACATAAAATAATTGTAAATCACAAGATTTATACAATTTGTCTATTTATTTGCTGTTAAAACTGTGCATTTTCTTCCTTTGAAAATTTGTTTTCAGAATTACTGTATTTTAAAAATAAATTTAAAGTATTTTGTATTTAGAAATGTAAAAATATCATGAATAATTTGATATTTTAAGCAATTAAATAGTTTAAAAATTATTAGTTATTACTAACTCCTGATATCACCTTGAATTGTTTTATGTGAACAATTGTCTTTCAATACCACTTTCTGATTTCTTATTGTTCATAACCTAAGTGTAGTTCCTCTTCACAGATAATAAAATAAGCAGATAGTAAACACAAAATTATAAGGTAAAAGTAGTAAAAATCAAACTATAAAATAATTCATTCAAAACAAAACAAACTTTATTTTTAACAATAATTCTGAAAACAAATTTTTAAATAAAGAAAATGCACATTCTTAGCAGAAAATAAATAGACAAAATGCATAAACCCATATGATTTGCAATTATTTTATGAAAACTTGAACTGATTTGAAAAAAGGTCAGTCATCAATACAATCTTGCAAATACAAGGCACACATCTATCAAACTATACAGTCTTCAATATGTTTACAAATCTTATTCGTAAGTTGTTTTGGATTTTTAAACTTCAATTTTCTTGAAAATGTTTGAGAAATATGCTTTTTTCCTTTGCTCAATAAAAATTTATTCCAAGGTTTATCCACACAAATAATATTACTGAAATTTGTAATGATTACATCATGATCTCCTCTTGTAAGACAAGATTAAAGCTTGTTTGAAGTGATCCTGTATGCTACAGATAATTTGTTAATTTTGATTAATCTCAATGTAAATAGAGATTTTTCTTGTTTACACAAACATTATTTAATCACAAAACATATATTGTCAGCTAACTACTACTCTTTGGATAAATCTGATTATATTTTACTATGGGGAATGAATCTGAACTATAATGCTTAACTAAGATATACTGCATAGGCTTTATCATTGAATTTCCCACAAGGTTTGTTAAATTCCAAAGAAAGGAAAAAAAAAATGAATAAAAAACTGAAACAATAAACTTATCCTTTAAAACAATACAGGAACTGTACCATTAGTTTATGCAATATAAAAATTTATACATTTTATTTAATTCATTTTCCTAACTTGCAGAATATAGATAAAATTAATTTCCTGTTAAAGTAAGCAGTGTGGCTAACAATTTTCCCCCAGAAAACGGAATGCAATCACACTGTTAACATGTAATATTAAAGAATCACCAAACAAAGAAAATATCTATCAGAAAATAAAAAATTAATAATGATTTGTACTTTTCCATTATCTATTAATTACATTTATAGATTTAAAATTGTTTAGTTTAGTGACAAATTTACATTTTCTTTCACACTGTAAACTTTTATATATTAACAATTTCAACAAAAGTGATATGTTTCTGAAAAATAACTTGTCTTACAATAAAATTTTAATGTAACAACTTTATCCATTAAACTTAAGATTTACAAATCTCATGCCAAACTTTCAAACAAACTGAATCCCTTTTTTTATCCTACAAAATATTAATAAAAATCAATATTCGTTGAGGGTATACAGGCACACTATAAGATTTTCATGAAATATCCTGACATAAAAATAGGTCCCAATCTAGTTTCAGTAGATAAAATTGCAAGTGACTTATCTCAGAAATTAAATCTAGACAAAAAGTGGAAAAAATCCACATATTTTGACATGTTAACTTACCCCTACCTCAGTTAACAAATATCATTCAAAAATACCCCCCTTTTCTTTCCAAATATATACACACACATGCACACATACAGTATATATATATAGTATATACATGCCTATGTATATATGTATGAATGCATGTATGTATCATTACGCACACATATGTATATATAATATATATATATATGTATATTTTTTTATATATACACATATATACATACAAACACACATTACATATGTATATATACATGCATGCACATACATACATTGTATATACAGTATACATATGAACAGGAGACAGTTTACAGGCAACATTCTGTACAGAAAACTATTTATAATTTCAATTATCACTTATTGTCTTATATCCAATTGTGGCACGATTAACATTGAAGCTAATGACATCAAAACGCGAAATACTACACTTTCATCTAAGCAACTAATCAAAACAAAATAAAGCAGAAAGTAATCTATATTTTGCATATTATTTTGTTTTTTGCTTCTGATGCATAATGTGTACAAATTACCAACAACTATTTTCTCTTTCCTTCACTCAGAAGAAGAAGAAAAAAAAAAAAAAAAAAAAAAAACAAAAACAGTACTATTTATAGGTAAATAAGCACCAAAATAAAGTGGATTTGACTGTATTATTTTGTAGAATGGTCGTTGAACGAGAAGAAAATTTATGTACAGTTATGGAACCCTTCAAAAAAATAACCAATTCAAGTATGATGACTTATCTACAGTCTTGTCCTGCTACATTTGTTTTTCTTTTTTTTCTGAATGCCACACATATGGACTCTTGTACCTAAACTTTGAAGAACAAAGTTATATCTTCTAGGTAATGTGGACTGTTATTTGAGAATAAATCACCATATATTAAATTAGATCAGTCAAATTCCTTTTGACTTTCTTCAAGTGTTTCTTCTTCAGTATCTTCCAATACATGAGATACCATCTGATTTTCCTTATTAGATTTTTCTAAACCTGCAAAAAATAATATAACTTAAATTTTAACTATCAAAAATGTACATAAAATTACCTTATATTTTTAAAATACAATTAATATTGTTTAAAATGATGTTTACAAACTTACCCATGGGCCTTAAGACAAGATAATTGAGAATGTCAGACAATGATATAACACCAATTACACATCCATCTTCATCTACAACAACTAAACGGTGCACCTTAAAAAATAAATAATTAAATTTTATAAAATTTCTATTTAACATAGTATAAATTTATTTTCACAAAATATTATTACCTCTGCTTTCACTATCCTTTCCATTACAGATTCTAGTGTATCATCAAGTGTACATTTCAGAACACCTTCAAACCACTAATAATTAAATTAGTAAATTAATAATATAAATATATTTCATTCTTTCTTATATATAAATATTAAATTTACTTAATGTAATTTTTATGGAAAAGTTGCAAATGTAGTCAAACTTTATATTTATTAATAAAAAAAATTGAATTAATTTAAAAAATTTTATTTATAAATGAACAAAGCTGTAACATTAAATTTAATTATTAATTTTGCATTTTTTAATTTAATTAAACAAATGATAATAATAAACATCCATAAACTTTCTCACACAAATAATTTCAAAAAGTATTAAGATTAATTTGAATTGAAGATGTTTTAATAACATTGTTTTAGTAAAGGATTTTAAAACTTAAAATTGTTTAATAATTTTCAGATGTTAAGACATTGAGTTTTAAGTAATAAATTTAAATAATTTTGAAGCAGCTTTTTAAATTATCAAAACATTTACCTCAATTTATTTATTTTTCAGAATATTTTTTAAAATATAAAAAAGTACATAAATTTACAATTGAAATTACCAAATACAGTAGGGTCTCTGTAATCAGACATATATAGGATCAGAAGATTGTCAAATTACTGGATTTTGTATGTATTGTACAGTAAAAATACACTTGGTTCATAGATTAGTTTGCAATAAACAATTAGCGGCTGACAATATGCATGTACAGTACATCAGTCTCTCTTTCACAAACAACAAGACGTAACACAAAAATTTCATGTGCGCTGTCCTTTGGAATGTCAGATTACTAAACAGGTCAGACTGATGAGTGACAGACTAAAGAGATTCTACCATATTTTGATCACCACATAAGAAAAATTTCACAAAATATTTTATATGATAAACTGTTATTTGGCAATTTAATTTTTCCATTATTGTTTGAAAGAGACCATTAGTTTATGATTTCAAAAGAAAAATCATCATCATTCAAAATTTATTTGAAAATTATATAGTTTCAATGTTAATACAAATTGAATATGTAATATTACAAGTAAAATATAAAAACTAACATTTCAGAGAAACAATTCATTTATAAAGAGTGAATACATTTACATAATAGTAAACAACTGTACTGAATAAAGTTGACCTGTCAAGAGTCTAATGTTTTAATTTTCACTTCATTGTGAAATAAAAGAAAGAAATTAATAGTAAACAATTAAAAATTGCAAATTTAGCCTTAATTACAATTTTTATAAAAATTCTGGCAAAAGCCAAGTTTACAATTTTTAACTGTTTACTGTATATGTAAATGTAAGCTGTAATTCATATGGTGGCAGTTTGGCAGAAGTGTAGCTGCAGGAGAATTAAAATCTCCTGAATCAAATAGTAGTTACAAAGAAGAATCTGTTAAAATAAGAGTTATGTTTAAGAATTTTTTTGTCAATGTGTGGAACTTTAATATTATAAGTTAAAAGGTTATATTTTAAAAAAGGTAAAAATTAAAACCCCTTAAAAACTTAAAAAATACCAGGAGAAAATCTCTTTCTCAGTCTTTACCAATTTTCCAGAAGACTTAATTAAAAACTATAGACTACAACTTTCTTCTAAAAGGAACCAGTTTTATTAATTTAATATTATCTCCAAATGCATTTCGTATTTGATCAAATTCATGTTTGCAAATCAAATATTGCTACAGATTGTGATGTTATACACACTGAGGAGGCCCTGTTATAGCCAGGGTAAAATGCATTTGGAGGTAATATTAAATTAATAAAGCTGGTTCCTTTTAGAAGAAACTTGTAGTTGATGGTTTTTAATTAAGTTTCTTGAAAAATCAGTAAAGACTGAGAAGGATATCTTCTCGTAGTTGTTTTTAAGAAGTTTTTAAGGTTTTTTTAACTTTTTTAAAAAAATAACCCGTTAACTTATAAAATATACCAATTCCATTGTTTTAAATTTTACAAATATTTTTAATATAACTTTTAGTCCTACAACTTTTATTACACAAGCAACCATTTTAAATTATCATTCATTAAGTATAAATTACAAATAAATTTGACACTAGAGGGAGGCATTAGGCACCATCTCATATTAAAATTATTAATTATATTTTTAATTAATTTAGATTAAACTGGACGAAAAGAATCAGCTTGAAGTGGGACACGAACCCACAACTCCTGCTTACCATGCAAACGCATTGCCAGTTATGCTACTCGGACCTCTGATGATGAAACCAACAACGATTATAGCTTAAGGTTAAATATACTGGAAGAGGAGATCAGACTGGAGATCCAGATAGCATAACTGGCAATGTGTCCACATGGTAAGCATGAGATGTGGGTTAATGTCCTGCTTCAGGCCAATTCTTTTCTTCCAGTTTAATCTAAATTATTTAATTAAAACTTATAATTATTAATTTTAATGCTAGATGGTACTTAACACCTCCCTCTAGTGTCAAATTCATTTGTAATTTATAATTATTATTTTCAAATTATAGCCTGATAATTCACGGCAGTTGTTGATGTATTACTGCAAAGCATTAAGTTTCTGTATAGATGTTTATATACATTCATTAAGTATTTATTATTGTCATTTTCTCAATTCTATTATTATAAGATATAGAACCTAAATTTTAAAAATCATGTAAAAAATTTTAAAATTTAATAATTAAATTATAGTAATGCAGGTATAATGCATGTAATGATATAAACAGCTTAATAAGTAGATTTAATCGTTGTAAATTTAAAAATCACAAACATTAAAATTGAATGAATATACAGTGAAACAATTAGTTAAGCATATTTCTAACAATTGTTAACATTGGTTACCTTATGAATATAATATAATTACTACTTAAGAGTATTATCATTTATTCCTATTTTGAGTATTGTCTTTTTATTTAAATAGTAAAGAGTGTACAAATAAAATACTGAACATAATTACTGATACATAATTACTTCAAATAATCTAAAATCTTTCATATAAGTTATTAACATTTTTTACATTCTGTTCTTATTTAACAGAATTCTTACTATAAAATAGATTAAAAACATTAATAAAACAGGCTGAGGAAAGAATCATCTGACAGTGACCAATGCTGAATACCTAGTGAGAAGGTTGGAATAACTGCTAGACAAGTGGCATTCAACTAGTGTCACAAAGTATTCTTTATCTGTATTAATTAATATAAAGATATTGCTATTGGCAAGAAATATCATTTCCCAACAAACAATATAACAACTTCTTAAAAACACATAGAATTCAATCATTTTAAAATAACAGATACACACAATGCTGAGAAGTGCTATAATGCTTATTCTATATATTATTAAAAGTATGAAAGGAGCAATACCACTACTGATAAAAGTGCAAGGAAGCTATAAGAAAAAATTACAAAATTGAAAATGCCACTATTAGCAAAAGATTAAAAAACATTGTATTAGACTAAATGCAAATATGTATATACTGACATTTACATATTTTCCAGTTTGAACATTTGTAACTTTCTAAAATGTGACCTGTATTTCATCTTGCATTAATAAATACATTTAGCTGTCAAGTGACTATTGCCTCATCCTGTATGATTAATTTTGTTCTTAAAAGAATAAAAATAAAATATAATTTAAATACTTTCTGCAACATTAATTTTTTGTTCAATTTTTAAATTCATTATCAACTGTTTAAGAAAAATTTAACAAACCTGATCTCTATGCTCCAAAGCTTTCTTTATACTAATATCTAAATTATTATATGTCTTTTCAGATGCCAGATTCTAAAAAAAATTAGGAAATAAAGATTTCAACAAACATATTACTTTTAATAAATCAAATTTATTAAATCTAAATATCAAGTAATTAATTTCATATTTACTTATAAATTAAACAAATATATAAAGAATAAAAGTAGACACTTACTTACTTATAAATTAAACAAATTTAATTATTTTTATCAATTTATAAAATATTTCTGTATTATCTTATCCTATACTGAGAGTATAATTAATGATGACAGTACAGTGTAAAATAATTTTTTTGCAAATGAATCTTTTTATAACAATAAATTTTCTTGTAAGAATGTTTAATGTTGATTTCAGGTTCTAATGTGTAGTCAAACATTTTGTAGTTCTGCTTCAATTATTAAAATAATTGCTGTCACTTCTTATTTCAGCATAACTGAAACCATATTCTAGTATTTCTTAAACAGAATACATTTTAAGAAAATATAAAATATCCAAACCATCTTTTCACAGGGCTGCTTCAAACATTCTGAATAAATTACCAATGTGTTTAATATAGCAACTACAGCATTATTTATATTTAATTCTGTTCTGTTCTTATGAGAAGGACAAAGTATCATAGATATTATAATAATATTAGAATATTTTAACAGTGAAATGTTAAACAATTGTTTAACATTTCACTGTTAAAATATTTACACTGTTTACCAAAACTACTGTATAGTATAAAGAACGTAAAAACAAATATGGATGAAAACATTAAGTTTCTCAATGTACCAACTTCAAAAAGAAATTCCAGAACAAATTTTTAATATTAATTATGACAGATAAATGTGGAAAAAAACAGAAAATAAGTTTAAATTCAAGCAAGCAAACTACCCAAGAAAGCAGCTAAAAATCTACATTTTCAACAATAAAATAAAACAATTTCTTTCCGAAATGTATGTTTAGCACACATACATTTTCTTTTTCATTCTTTACTTTCTTCTTTTGCACATACTCTATATTTATAAATTTTATTAAAAAATATCAAACATTGATGGATTTTTATATATTTGAATTAAAATGTTTTTTCAAATAAAATGTATTTTATAAATTAAATTTTTATAACATTCGTCTATACTTCAAAAACTATTCATCTCATGCAAATACAATTTATGATATTCTGTTCTACACAAAATGAAGCATTATTTTGTTTTGTTCACATTAAATAGTGTAAGGACCCTAAACTATGAATATGCATGAAAATATAAATGAGCGAGAGATATGATACAGTATAATGGCACCCAAGAAGGATGAAAGCCCTGGGAAAGCAGGTCTCGAGAGGTGGAGCTGCAGCTAGCAAGGAACAGTGGTGCCAAGCAGGTTGCAAACGTACTGGATGAATGATCTTCCTGCAAACGACAAGTAGAAATGAATTGGAGCATAGGACTCTCTTGGTAAATCTAGCAATTAGTCAGTTGGGCTACATGAGGGGTGGAGATTGTTGGGACATCACTGTTCATGCCTTAAAAGTTGCTTTTGTGCAGTTTGTTTATTTTCAGTACTACAAGAGTAAGTAATTGAGGAGTGAATAAACCTAAATTTTTTTGTCTCAATAATCAGTCCCATCAATTCAGAGTTCTCAGTATTTAACAATTTGCTTGTTCTTCTGAAATAACCATAGCCATTTCGCATTGGTTCCATACCAAGTTCAGGGACAAACTATCAACGGACCCGCTACTTTTGGTTGTGTAATGTCCATACCGTTAGGACGTTTCCAGGTCAAGAAAGAAAGAATGTTATAATAGTATTGTAAGCAGAATGCATCATATTTATAGTAATAAATGTACAAAACTACTGATTTAATAAAAAATAAAAATATCTGAAACAGAATCTTTGTATTCCATAAAACTTGGCATCATGGTTAACTTTCAAATTTATGGAACCATAAGCAGCAGTTATTTAAGAATTTAAAAGTTCAAATATCTTAAATTATGATAAATCTTATATTTTTATTATTATGCTATACTATTTATTAGTAAAGAGTACATTTTATGATATTTATTTAGAATGAGTGGCCATATACAAAGGAAAACACACCAGCAGCCTTGACAGATGAACACACCCCCTCTTATGATTAATTAATAATAAATAAGTGAGAAATAACTAATTACATCTTTCAATATTTTAAAATAGTGAATATAAAATCCAGATAAAGTCTTGATAATTCATCATAACAAAAAGTACAGTATGTCTGTGCTACCTATCCACCCTCCTTAAAATTAAGATATTTAGAAATTAGAGAAAAAAATTTATTTATAAATAAACTAAATATTTTGTTATAATCTACATTCTAAAGAAAACCTTAAGAAAATAAATTAAAAACTTACTATAACATCAAATTTGGCATAAATGTCAACAACTCTTCCTTTATCATCAATAACTGGTAAAGCAGATACTCTCCTCTCCACAAACTGATTAAGAGCCATAATAAGTGGCGTATTTGGTGTTGTCTGAAATATATGTTTCAGATTAAGTTTCAGGAAATGGGTATCTAATTCAAACTACATTTGATTAAATATAATTTTAATAAAAAATTTAATTAAATTCAAATATAATAATTTGAATATTTTTTGTGAGATCAATAAATTTTTTCAGATATCAGTTTAATGTTTCTAACAAATTCCAATTTATTTATTTTATAATTATACAATCATATTCATATTAGCCAAACACCATTTCATTCCAAATCAAAAATGATTTAAAACAATGTATAAAATTTAGAACTAATGAATATGCTTAATGTTTATTATAAATAATTTATCATCAAGTTTTTAATATTTTTCTTAATTATTCCACAAATTAGTATATTATATAAAACAAAATTTTTCAATTTAATGATAAAACATCAGTTTCTGAAAGTTATACAGAATAAATAGCAAATTAGAGATGAAAGTAGTCACAAAAAATATCCTTTCAAGTTTTAAGGCAAGGTTTGGGAAAAAATAATTTTAATATATATTAACTTCAAATGTTCATGTTTTTTTTAACTTATAAATAAAAATAATATTATAATTTACATATATCTGATTAATAATATTACTATTATTATTAATCAGATATATGTAAATTTTTATATTATTTAATTAAAAAATTATTATTTGAAACAGTCCACAAACTTTGAATTATATCTATTACTTTTATATAAACACATAATGTTTCACATGAGGTGCATCATTCAACAGTATATATCCACTTAAAGTTTTTAAGTGGATAATATACTATTTTATTAAGTTTTTTAAAATGTTATCCAATTACTGATGTAAAGAACTATTATAATAAAATATTTTTATTGTTTGAAAACAGGCTTAAAGCATTTTACACTTTGGTTTATAAACCAATATTAGCATTGTCAAGTTTATAACTTTAAAAAAAACTATTTAATACTGAAAATTAAACAAAAATGGATAAAATACACTTTGGAATAATGTGCCTCATATTACTACATTGTATTCACATTAAAATATACAATTGATTTTTCATTTAAATGTTTCTTGTTCATAAATTTTAACATAAAAATAATGTTTAATCCTTAAATGTAAAAATACATATGCTAAAACATTATTCTCTCCTATTAATAAATTATTCAAATATGATATTTTCATCACAAATATCTTCTATTTATTATTTGATATAATTTGCAAATAAATAACCTCTTTTAAACTATTTTTTCTTCTTTGGATTTTTAAAAGTAAAAACTTATAATTAAGTAAAAAAAAATCCACAAATTTTTATTTGACACATCTTTAAACAGATGACAACTGAATATTTAGTTATTTTGATATTATATATTATTGATTAAATTTTGTCAATACTTAAAGTTTCTTAATACTTTAGCAGCATTAAATTCAGAGTACTTACACACTATCAGTCAATATCTGTATGTACAAGTAAAAAAAATTAAATGTTACCATCCTTTTCTCATCTAAGAGAGAGTTGTGAATGGGTACAATGTTTATAAACTGAAATATCTGGTTTCAAAATTAAAAACAAATCTAATGCAAAAATAAATAGGAAAATAGGAAATTTATTATTGTATTTGAAAAAACAACAATAATCTATATATCTAAACTTAAAGCAAATTTTTTCTTTGCAAACTACAATTAGAATTTAGAATAAAATTAACTAACTATTTTATTATTATTAAATTCTCAATGCATTCTGAATCTACAACAACAAAATAATAATGGCATACATCATCATAAATGTAATCAGTAAGAAACTCCGATAGCATTAAATTTAAATCATAAAACTGAATTTTTAACTGAAAATCCATAACAATGGTGACTATTAAAAAAAATCTGCCAGGGTTTGTGCAACACTGTTTTCCGTTTTTTCAAGGTAATGAAAAGCCTGTACATTATCTTTTATTTTTGTAATTCTACAAGTCCTTTAACAATAAGCCTTTAAACCCTTTTTTAAAATATTTGATATGAATATACTTTATTACACATATGTAGATCATTATTACAATGAAAGGGTTATCACATATGCAAAACAATTAATGCCTTATATATTTTCTAAAATGCATTTTGACCTTAATGTAAATTTTTCTAAAAAATTATAAAAATTTACCAAAAAATTAATATCTCATCTAATTCATATTTTTCTTTTTCAAAACTATGCAATATTTTCTTTTTCTGATTCAATGTGTTGAAGAACTTTAATAATTCAGAAGGAAACAGCAAGTGTGAATGACTATTAGACAAAGATATGTTTGTCTTTATGCTAGAAAATTCTATGCTAAATCTCACAAAACTTAAAACCATTACTTAAAAAAAATGTTCTAGACCTGCCAAGAGATGTTACTGTTGTCTGTAAAGTTTCAAGTTTGTTCATAATATACAAGCATACTATAATGAGACAAACTTAAAGAACATATACAGTAGAGCCTCAATTATCCGACCCCCGATTAACCGACACATCGGTTAACCGACCGTCCTAGTCAGCAAATTTCAAATGTCCGCTAGTGATGTGGGGCTACAATATTTGGCTATGTCTTGGCTACTTTAATATTATTTTTACGTGTTTTCGCTGGCAACACTGGATTGACCATAAAAGGGAGCCAGTATTTAAACGAGGCTTAATTTTCTAATTTTTAACGATACAATAGCAACAATTATTATTTTAAAAAATTTTTGTTAGGCTTAACATCAATGAAAATTCAACGTGAAGTAGGTTAATAGCAATATACTAATATACTAATTACATGGGATATAATAATATACTACACTAATAATGGATTTTGTATACTTTTCGGTTATCCAACTTTTCAATTATCCGACCAACCCCAGTCCCCAATTGTGAAATCCGGAATTTTTGTCGACTATTTGTCGATTAATTGTCCTGTATTTGCTTAAAATCTAATTAAATTTTCCTTTAACTTAAAGTGGAACCTAACAAAAAAAAAAAACCTTTTTGTTTATGTTCGACATAAACATCCGTTCAATTCGAAACTAATCCCACATTCCAACGCCAAAGTTGATAGTTAGCATGGTCCCAGGAACAACTCTGACCCATCTGCATACCTTTTACCTCACAACAATCAATCACGTGACCATTCTCCCACGCCGAACTTATAAAAACCCCTTCCTTCCCCTTCTCGGGGGAGTCGTATCAGAGCAGGTGCCGAAAGAAGATAAATTTCAAATAGTGTCCTTTTTAACCGGTGAACATTCCTAAATCCAGGATTTAAATATTTAACCAGTGACCTTTCCTACATCAGTGAACTTTCCTAGCCAGTGAAATTTTCCTAATTCAAAGAGTAGCATGGATAACAGATCAAGAGGTATGGAACCAATTATTGTAAGCTCTCTCTCGGTCTCTCCGCGTTTTAGGGACGCGAACTAGACGTTGTATTACTTGGTTTAATAAATTGTTAATTTTCCTTATGTTATATCTGGCCTCCTCGTTTACTCGTATATCGCCTGTCGTCTCACCGATGCGCTCCTCCCTCCGCCACTCGACCCGTTACAACGGGAAAAAGAACCCTTCAACCACCCATCCTGACAGTGAAAAGGTTTAACAACCTGTTGCCGGATCGGGAGACTACCCTTCCCTTCCCGGCGGTTCACACAATTGAGTCAGATAATCGAGGCTCTACTGTATGCACTTACTCTATGGAGCCTACCAGATTATCACATACATGTTTTGGATTACTCATTACTTAAGAATGCAGCTCATCATTAAACAATGATTACATATGCATATTTATTTGTTTAAAAACTGTTGCACATTTCTCAACAAAAACATGAGTGAATACTAATTTTTCCATTACTTTCCATCAACACATTTTAATGATATATATTTACTATTTATATATTACATTGTGTATATACTAAACTAATTTTGCAATTAAAAACTTCTAATATTACTTTGATAAAATATAGATTACTCTAATGGATTTATAAAAATTTTGTTATTTTTCTCATAATATTAGTTTAAATAGTTAGTTTTAAAAGTTCTATTTTAAAGAATAATAGTTTTATAATAAAACTTTTAATGTTTCTCAGCTTGAGTTGTTAGAACAATAATAATAATAAAATAAGAACAACAACAAAAATAATTAATCTTACTCAGAGCTGTTCAGTTTATGGTTTCTTTACTTGGATGTTTTAATTATTATTTAAACTTAAATTTTTGCTGTTATATTTTTAATTAATAAACAAACTAATACTAATCAATTAAATTATTTTCTCTTTAAATAAAAAAAATTACTTACAGTTGCAATATTTTCATAGGTACCAATCCTGAGTTCTCTAAGTGTTTTAGACAGATAATTTGGATGTGGTAAATCATAGTACTGAAATAATAAAATAGTAATATTTTAATTTTAAATACAAAGCAATATAAATGTAGTTATAAAAATTATTTAAAGTATTTCAAGATCTTTCTAAAAGTAAAGTAAGAGAGAGGGCATTACAATATAAATTATATGTAATGCAATAGGCAAAAAATTTATACAAATAGAAAGCAGGTTGTTCAGAAAATTTTTTGTAATCAGCAATCTCTCTCTTCTTTTTTTAGTTAAAAGTTTCATACATCTGTAATTATTATTTTTTGAATTTTAATTAGCTAATAGTACTGTATTATTAAGCTAGTTTAGGGCTGTCCAACCTGTAATTACACAAGGGCCACATGCAGCCCAGTGCTGTAATGAATGCAGCTCAACATAAAATTGTAAACTTCCTAAAAACATTGAGAACTTTCCAGTAATACACATTGTTTATGTTTGATAATGCATAGTGGGTGGTATCGAACAAATTGAATAGTGAACAAATCGGATAACGAACACTTCACAGAACAAACATAAAAAGAAGCGATGAAAAATAATGAATACCGATTGATTTTCCCTTGTCTTTGGGTAACAATTTGAAACCTTTCAAAGCGCAGGAGAAGTCGGTATTGATGCTCAACCCAATACTAATCGGATAGTATTCCTCCAAATTTTGAAACTCCCTTGTAATTTCAGTCTTTTGTTTAATATTCCGACAAATATTGGGTTGTTTGGAAAGTAATTTTGTTTTTTATTACTAGAGGAATTAGATGTATTTTTACCAGCCAATTTCATTTTAAACCAAATTTTCATTATATACTTTGATAGCTGACATTTTAAGGCTTATTTGTAAAAAACTTTGTTTGATTCTGTACAATTGTTTTTTTTTTCAGTGTCCCATTAAATATGGAAAATCAAAAGCATCATTTCAGCATATTTTGCTCTTACCATATTACCAAAAAACCAATATGCTGTTCAAATAAGAAAAAAATTGTGGTATGTGTATGGAGAAGATGTGTTGAGAGAAAGACAGTACCAAAACTGGTTTACAAATTTTCATTCTTACAATTTCAGTATTGAAGATGCATCACGTTCTAGATGGCCAGTTGAAGCGAATGAAAACAAAATAAAGGTACTGATTGAAGCAAACTGCCAAATAACACGCGAAATCACTAAGAGATTAAATTTGTCAAATTGAACCATTTATGATTACTTATAACGAATTGTTTCGTTTCAAAGCTCGATATATGGGTTCCACATGTTCTTAAAGATAGTTGCTATCTTTGATGGGATTTTAAGAAAATTTTTTTTTGAGCTTTTGTCAGACAATTTAACAATTGATTCGAAAATGTGCTGCCATCAAGTAAACAAATTGAGTAATATCATCAAACAGAAAAGGCCAGAATTGAAGAACAAAAAAGGTGTAGTGTTTTACCAGATAATGCCAAATTTCACACAAGTTTGGTAACTGGTCAGAAACTGTTACAGCTTAGATGGGATGTGCTATCACACCAATCATATTTGCCATATCAGGCACCCTCAGATTATTACTTGTTCTGGTCTAAACAAAATTTTTTAAACTGTAAGACATTTACTTGAAATGACAATGTCAAAAATCACTTGGATCAGTTTTTTGTAAGCAAAGATCAAAACTTTTATGAACGTGGAATCATGCTACTACCAGAAACGATGGCAAATTAAAATGGTCGATATATAATTCAATAAAATATTTATTTATTATAAAAATAGTGTGTTCTTTTCCATGGATAAAAAAACAAAATTATTTTCCGAACAACCCAATAATTTTTTATTGTCTTCACAAGACTGTCAGGTGGATACTCATTAAGTTTTGCATTGGTTCTAATTTATGAAAGGTGAGAGTTTAACTGCCCCATCAGATATTCGTTAATATTTTAATACCAAATTTCGAATTTCATCTGGGCCTCGAATTTGCATAGCTTTTTGTGCACTAGTTGATTTCTGTTCTCTGAATTTTGTAAGTACTTTTCTGGACTTTTTATTTAAAAAAAAAACTGATAATATTATGGAGTCTAAAAAGAGGCATATCAAGAACTGTGCTCACCATAGAAACCAAGAGATAATAGCCAAGATACAAAGTGGACAGAAGATGTCTGTTGATGCTAGGACGTATGGCTTCAACAGGTCTACAGTAGGCAAAATCTTAGCTATGAAAGATATATCAAGAAGTCTCAAGAGGCTAAAGGAGTAATGAAAATCACTTCTGAGAAATAAAGAGCAGTGAAGAGCTCATAATGGAACCTGAAACTGATGTGACAACAGAAGAACTCCAAGAATACTTAAATAAAGAACACAAAGAAACTCAGCAAGATGTTTCTTTTGAAAAAGACGATGATGAAAGAGGACCAATATCGACATCTGCTACTAAAGATCTTTTGAAGAAGTGAGAGGATGTCAGAACAACGGTCATCCAAATGGCATCCAAACCAGGTTGAGGTTATAGGCTTGAGGATCTCTACAATGACAATGCTATTGATTACTTCTGAAAAATCCTGAAGAGAGAAGCAAGTAAAATTGGACACATTCTTTAACCTCCCACAAACAGAAAAACAACATAACTGATAATGCAAGACTGTATATATATATACACACTTTCTTACAATGTTTATTTACATTTTACATGTATATATATATATTTTTTTTTTTTTTTTTCTATGCAAAGCTTGAGAAACTGTAGAGAAATGTGTTTCAGTTTTTAGGGAGAACTCTTTTAATTTCAGGGGAAATTTCTGGTATATTTAGGGGTTTTCACGACAGAAGGTTGGCAACGTTGCAACGATGCAACGCGGCGGTCGAGTGCGAAAACAACTTTCAAAAAAAAAAAAATTGATTTTTCAGTTCAGCAAAACACAGATAAGAATGTCAAAAATATTGAAGAATCATCGATATTTCGTAATAATCGATTTATATCGCCCGTCACTACGACTTATGTTCCGTTCGCGCAGAAACACGTGACACGTTGATAAAGAGAGCAGCGGGGATCGAAAGGAGGGTAAGCTCACGTAAGTCGTCAATTTCCGATTCTAGCTGATCGGCGAGAGTAGAACACGTGTTTGTCGTGTCGCGTAACTTAACGAAATATTAAATCGGTATATACGTACTGTGTAGTTCCTCCAGTTCGATATTTTACTTATTCATGGACTTATCGTTATTCTGTTTATTTAGGAGATGATAAATCTAATTGGAAGGTCAAAACGCCCATTCAATACAGTGTTTAGAAGAATATGTGTGTTTATATATACACTGTGCAGTGGCGCACCCATGGGGTAGACCAAGGGGTTGGCGCCCCACAGTAAAAGGAAAAGAAACACTAGTAAATTTTTCAAAAACATTTTTCCTAATTAAAATTCATTTATTTATATTGTGTGGTGTGTTCTATTTCTATATTACTTATGAATTAGTGGCCGCATAAGGTGGGAATTTTATTCAGGTTCCATTAAAAACTTTTTTTTTATCTGTTCAACTCTGCTCTCCTGAGATTATATCTCGAGCGTGCCACCGTATATGTGTGTTTTTACTCTCTGCCTTGTGGGTGCTAAGAGGCGTTTTTAGCCAGCCCTTTACGGGATGACTAGGGATGGATTGCCACCTGAANATTTGTAAAATCTAAGTGACTCGTACAACATGGAATTCATATAAAACGGAATAATCAACAGTGTTATAGGGGGTCGACTTGTACATGATTCACGTGAATTAAAGACAATGTAAATAGACGATCCCCAATGACTGTAAAGAAATCTGCATTAAGACAAATCACTGTTTCTTATTAAAGCTTTCTTTTGGGGATTAAAATATAAATTATGCTCCCGAAAACATCTTCATACGGTTACACTCTGTACAAGTCGACCCCCCTATAACACTGGTTGTTTTTCCATTTTATACGAATTCCATGTTGTACGAGTCAATTAGATTTTACAAATACGTGAGCCGTTCACAGCCCGGCACACGTATTTGTAAAATCTAAGTGACTCGTACAACATGGAATTCATATAAAACGGAATAATCAACAGTGTTATAGGGGGTCGACTTGTACATGATTCACGTGAATTAAAGACAATGTAAATAGACGATCCCCAATGACTGTAAAGAAATCTGCATTAAGACAAATCACTGTTTCTTATTAAAGCTTTCTTTTGGGGATTAAAATATAAATTATGCTCCCGAAAACATCTTCATACGGTTACACTCTGTACAAGTCGACCCCCCTATAACACTGGTTGTTTTTCCATTTTATACGAATTCCATGTTGTACGAGTCAATTAGATTTTACAAATACGTGAGCCGTTCACAGCCCGGCACACGTATTTGTAAAATCTAAGTGACTCGTACAACATGGAATTCATATAAAACGGAATAATCAACAGTGTTTTAGGGGGGGGGTCGACTGTATATTCAGAAATCAATGAAGACAATTATTATAAAAAATTTAAGCTTTATGATAGCATAACATTAAATAAAGACTAGAAAGTTAATTGAACCTCATGCTAAATAATAATCTAATGTACTATTATGATGTAACTTGTTCTGTCTTACAATGTTAACCAAACATTTTATTCAAAAATTTCCAGCACTTTCAATAGTTTACAACTATTCTATTCAATTCCTACTATTCTATTCTATAACTATTCTTAACTGTTGATGATTTAACTGTCTTATGATGTTAAAACCAACATCATAAGACAGAATATGTTACATCATAACATTACACTAAATAAAGAGTTTAAATTTTAAATTGTTCAAATAAATCCTAAACATATTTATTAAAAAATTTCCTATTATTAATCTTTATGAAACTATTATAAATTTAATTACATATAAAATTTATTCGTATAAAAAAATATATATAAATATTAAAACAATTACTACTTACATAGAGAAATAAAAACCTGAGTATACGTTTGTGTGTTAAGATATACAACACATTTCCTGTATTTGGATTAATGACTGGAAGCCTATGGACTTTACTGTGGATAAGTGTCTTAATGGCTTCAAAAAGGCTGATAAATACAATTAAGTAAATTTAGAAAAATTCTAAATTAAAATATATTATTAATTCTGAAATTTAGCTAATTTGTTCAAACAAAATGTTTTAATTAAGAATTAAATTTTATCTGAACTATTACAAAAATCTACATAAAGAATGAATTAATAGTATATCTAAAAAATAAAATCAAGGGATATGAGGAAACAGTAAAATTTATAAAAATCCAACAATGAATTGCATAACTTTCCCAGCAAAAAAATTTAAAGTAGTGGTAGTGCCATTTGTTATATGTTAAAAACATTTTATATGATTAATTATTATAAAATGGCACAAAGCTTAATTTTGAAACTAGAGATGAGTTTTATAAAAAAAAAAAAAAAGTAAATACTAATAATAAGTAAAATCTTCATTAAATCTGATCCTACTCAAGATATGATACATGACTATTTCCCCCACCTCTTGACTTTTATACCACCATAATTTAATAGCATCAATCTCCTAATAAAGAAACCTCCTTGTATAATTTCAGAAAGTTTTGACAAAAGACACTGGAGTTATTAAGCTTCAAAATGGTTAAACAAATTTCTGCTTCCACACATACACTATCATACATACATGTGGGGGGAATCCAGATTTATTTGCATTTCTTGACATATCAAGAAATGCAAGTAAATTCCAGTCCAAAAATGTAAAAATGTTGCAGGGAGTAATTTTTTGACCAACTGCCAAACTTTCTCTATATTACATAAAACAACCAAGAAAATAATATAATTTGATTCATTTGATATCTGCATGATAGAAAATTCAATATATTTAAACACAAACAAAGTTATCTGATTATGCTAAATCACAAAATAAATAAATACCTTGCATCAGGTTCAATGCTGACTAGAGATCTTGCTTTTTCTTTTAGTACATCTGAAAATTCATAACAAAACTTTATTCTTCTTTTCATTAATATCAATTTTTTATATATGATAAACACTAAACAAGGTTTGAATAATAATTCATGTAAAAAAACTCAATGAAATAAATAATTATTATATTGTTTACTTAGTAATTAATAAAATAATTTGATTGAAAAAGTTAAACAAGTGATTAAAATAGATCATCTTCCTTAGGAATAGTCAAAACATTAATTTCTGTATTGTAAATTAGAAATATTACTTTAAAAGTATGCCATTTTAATCATCATAAATTATTAATTACAAACAATTGCATTTTGTTTGATATTAAAAATTAATCTAATAAATAAATATAAATTTTATAAATTTATTAAGCAAGTATAAACTTATTGATATAGTTCTCATGACTCATTTTTTACTCATATTTGGCATTTTGTACAGGAAAAAAATTCACATGTAGTATATTAAGATTGTTATAATCCTAATATACTACATGTTTTCATTAAAAATATTTTATTAGTAATTATTATTATATCATATTAAATTAATTCTTCCAATTAATCAAATACATCTAACAGGAAAATTTTATTGAAAAGATTTTAATATTTTATTCAATGAAAAATAAATTACACATACTACAAATTCATATTGTCATTTAATATATATNAAAAGATTTTAATATTTTATTCAATGAAAAATAAATTACACATACTACAAATTCATATTGTCATTTAATATATATTAAGAGAACATAAACTGATATAAGAGAAATCAAAGATGATGTCAATTACTAATATTGTACTACTACTAATAATTTATCAAGGATGCAGAATATTTTCAAGACACAAAATTTTATCAGAATATAGATTTTACATACAAAATTGTTGCACGTTAGTAGAAAAACATATTATGAAGGAGTTAATAATTAATATGTGGTTTGAAATATTTTAATTAAAATATGCAATTCTTTAAATAGACACATAATATAATTTGCCACACAACACTAAAAATGATAAATTAATTTAAGTTTTTTTTAGATTAAAAGAATGCTTTAAGTATACATCATCACAAGATAGCATACATGATCATAAACTTAATGTAATATGTTGATTAATGCAGGCCTCAGAGTGCCATTTTCCCTCCAAAAAAGTGGGAAAAGTGAGTTGAAATACAGAAACAGTGAGTAAAAAGTGAGTGTAATAGTGACAAAACTAAGCAAAAGCATGGAAGGAAAACTCAGCAAAATAGCAGTAAAAGTTTTTTTTTCTCTTTTTATTCTGTTATGGTTAAATACATTTTAAAAATTTCTGTATATATAATAGCCACTTATATCGTGTTATATCGTGAATTTGGATATTTTTTTTTTGGGGGGTCCTCCAAATTTTAAAATACCAACTGCCATTGAATTTCTATTTGCAACAAAATACAGTATTCATATTTCTATCATTATCCTTAAAACTACCACTGAAGGTGAAACAATAAATTCGTCAAGATCTATATATGCAAAACAGATAGATATATCAATTGTCATTTGTTTCGTTTTGATATTAAAAATTGTTTATTTATTAGTTTTAAGTACCATCTCCTTATTTACAAGTTTCTGTCAATTTGAAATTTTACACCTTTATGAAAATTGAAGGTATTGCATCAATTCACATAAAGGTGTGAAATTTCGAATTCACTGCATAATGTGTAAGAAAGATTTCTTTAATTCTGAACAGAAAGTTTTTATACAGAACTAACTTTATTTTGTTTTTTAGAGAATTTTTACTCTCTGTAATTTTAAAAGGTTTGATGGTTCTATTAATAAGCGATTTATTTTCACAATAAATCGCTTATTAAATACTGTATAATAAAATCGCAAGTGATATTTCATTTTTATATCGATAGTATTTGTCTTTATATGTCATTGTTAAAGAAATAATGCTATATGTGCGTTGGTGGTATCAATGTTTATGTAAATGTCAATTAATACAATATAACCAAGAATAAAGTTCAGTATTAAAAACTAAGCTGATTGCATAGCATGTATAATCTGTTTAGTATAAGCTCAGAATTTTTACTACTCAGTTATATTACTACTCAGTTATATCGTACTTTTTTCTGTCTCCCGACAAGCGTGATATAACAAGAAGCTACTGTATTTCCAGTAAACTATAAATACTTATAATACTTACTACCCAGAATAATTATACTTGTAGTCAATTTATACATACATTTAGGAATATATAGACGTAATTAAATGTTAACAACATGCTATGAAATCATTAAAATAACTTTATTCTATTTAACTCAAGTTTATGAAATTATTTAAAGATATATAAAGTAAAAAATATTCTTGTAAATGACAACTCCATAACCCAATTGTTAATTAAAACCAAATGATTTGCCAAATTATTGGGCTATAACAAAAATAATTAAATGGTCAAAAATGAAATAATTTGTCTAGAAGTAGGAGGTTATGCCACTGTCTCATGTTAATTTTAATAATTATAATATATTTTAAATTTAGAAGCGGCAGCAGTGTTGTCAGCTTGAGAGATTAATCCCTTGGCATAGCGTGTTTTTTCTCTACAAAGATTTTCTTAGAAAACAGCCAAAAACATAGGAATGCTTAAAATACTTATTTTTAATTGCCATAGATAGAAATGCAACTTTGAAGAACTAGATTTTGGTTAATAATGACAATATGGCATGTGTACATAACTTTAATTGATATTGACTCAATTTTGGCTTCTGAATTTGTAACGAGAGGTATTTTTTAAGTGCATGAAAGACCTACATACATGAAAGGAATTTGTATCCTATAACCTAACAACATTAAGCAAAAGTTGCGATTTTGAGTCCTGCTCAGGTCCGAGTATTTTCTTCCAGAAAATTCTAGTCTGATAGTTCGATAATTTCGCAGATCATTTGGTTTTAAAATTATTTTTGATTGGTCCCACATCTTAATTGAGCACGTGGAAATGATCAAAAAAGTGAGAAAAATGACCTGAAAGGTGAGAAAAGTGAGGATACTTCAAAAAAGTGAGTACAAGTGAGAAAAGTGAGTGACTCCAAGGCCTGATTAATGGTAATAAAATTAGAATCAAATGTGACAGGCATCATTACTAATACCACAAGGTACCTAATTAGAATTTTTAACACAAGGTTCTAATTAGCAGATTTTTTAGCATTCAAACATGTAAAATTTCTTTACAATGTTGGTCATGCATATTAATTCAAGCTGACATGAAATTTTACCCATTAAATAGTATTGAAAAGAGTTTTGAAATAAAAACAATTTTATTAATTTTAAATTTTCACTGGATGATGAAATTTTCTTTAAAAAATAAAAAGATGTAGTCATTTCAAAAAAAAAAAAAATTTCTTTTTTGTTTCCTTTTAACACTTTCAGGACCGATCCTTTAGGTGTCATATTTCTGTGGACAGACCTTTGTTGACCTTTTTAAAAATACTGCCTGTTTGAAAATGAACAACTTTAATATAGGCTAGTCATAAAAACCATATTTTTTTTTTCAATTTAATTTGATATATAATAAGTAAGAATTTGTTAATATAGATTTGATTTTCATAATTTAAATATGTATACAAATGCAAAAACCAATATTTTTTGCCTTTATTTATAATTGCACCATTTGAAAAATGCATCTTCAATTCTAATTGGGTAATGGTTTGTTTTAATTCTGTTTATTGTTTTCTGTCCTTTGACAAAAATATGATGATGATGTGTGCAATGAACATTTAGTTTTTGTTTCATTTATGACATTCCAAAAAATGTGCAAATTTCTACACATTAAAAAGTGCATTAATCCACAATAATTTGATGTTTATACTTATTTACTTAAGTGTATTTATATTTTAAGAGAACTAAACATTAAATTATTTAATAATAATAGTAATAACTTTAAACGGAAAAAAAATGACAAAAAAAATTTGATAAAAGTTAAAAAAATTTTGATATTGATTTCAAATTTTGAGTACCTCTTGACAAAATTTTAATGAGCTTGAAGTATATTTCTTACAAAAGGATGATGGTCATAGGAAATACAAGCAGACATGTTTAGACCAAAGGTTACAAGAAAGTTATGGGATAGTGCTGGGTCAAGATCATTCCTTTATCTCATATAATTGCTGCCCAGAAAGTTTTAGTGTTATTTTGGTAAAAATCAAAACTATGGTTCAGTAACTGAGACCAACTTATCCCTACTGCATGCACATAGCTGTTTAAGTAGGAAGCAATGTAATAAATATCTGAAGTGATAAACAAAGTATCAAAATAGCACTCTCTCTCATCATCCCTCACTATCAGAAATCTGCTATATACTACACAAATTCCCCCATGTTCATAAATAATTGGAACCAAGTAATCTTAATTTAACATTGAATTCCATTTTCAATGTTAAATTTATAATTCCTTCCAAAACTTTACAATATTACTACTGTTTTAAAAAAATTTCAAAAAAAAATGAATGGCTTTATTAAATAAATATACTGTATATTGGTTTATAGTGCACAAAAGTCATTTTATTTAACTCAAAAGAAAAGGAAAAAAAAACAGTAACACAATTTATGACAGATCCCATACAAATAAGTAAGTGCGGTGATCTTTTAGTGTTGCACCTGCTTGAGCATCCAATTCACATGGGTTACATACTACTGTAAACTGGAGATGGTATCTCCAATTTCTCAAAAGTTGATATTTTGGTGTATAAATTTCTGATCATGAATAATCAAATTCTCAAACATTGAAGTCCACAAAGATCAATAGTGTATAGAGTTGGGGACACATCACTCAAATGCACACCAGACACTACAGCCAACACTGCCTCACTATGACAAATGCCTCACACAATGTCTGTGCACATCTAATATTCTTATTTTTAACTTATTTAAATATTGTGCATTCTAATTTCACTTTTAAAATATAGGATTTCCCTGAATTTTGGCAAATTTCTCCAATTAATATCTATAGACTTAGCCAAGATGCTACTCCATTTTATTGTAATGTTTTTGCAGCTATTGCTATTATTACTACTTTTCTACCACAAATTTTCCCAAGATTGCTTTAATTTCCACCAAACTTCCTTTGTGCAGTCAAACATATTTTGCACCCTGATATTTATAAAGATTTTAAAACTTTACAAAAATATTACCTCTCCATGTCTCAATTTTATGTTCTTCTAATTCATCCATATGTACCTAAAAATCAAATTCACTTTTAAACATTCATATGATTACTATATAAAATACAAATTTTAATGATGCCAAACAAAATTTAATCAAAAGGAAAACTTACCAATGGAGATTTATAATATGTTCTTAAAATATTGATGAAATCTGTTATGGTTAGCATTCCTATTAAATATAACAATAAATTTTTTATTAAAAATTTAAACTTTCTAAAATTCTATCAACTACTATTCATATACTCTGAAAAATATGAAAAGAATACTTATATTATGGAATTAAAAAACATATATACAAGGATATCAGATAATAAATATCAAGAAATTAAACTGAAGGAGTTTGAAACTACATTTATACTTAATGACTATCCTAAATTGAAATTAAATACATGGCATAAACAATACTGGAAAAACAGATATAATACAAAATAGACAAAAAATATAAAACCTTCTTCTACATAAAAAAGATTTTCAAGAGTTGTAATAAGATCCTTAAAAAAGATAATATGAGTTTAGCCTCATATTTCACCAACAAAATATCACACATTTATAATAACATTAATAAACAACATAACAATAAAATAAACAATCTTAAAAATGTAGGAACAGTTTATAGAGTGGAATGTAACTGTTATAATTTGAAAACTTATATTGGTGAAACAGGCCATTTATTAGAAACAAGAATAAAAAAACATGAAGCTGTAGTTTGACTTAGATATAACACTTCCCCATGGTATAATCACATATTAAATAATAATTGTCAAATCAATAGAAATAAAATAAAAGTTTCATAGTTTTAAGCAATATTGTTTTGAACATTCAATTTTTTAGGTAATCTTTTCCTTTCTTAATGACCATAAGTCATTAATTGTTGTTAAATTTTTGTTTCTGAAACAATAAATCTTGAGATATAAGCTATATTTGTTTCAAATTTACTTATGTTTGAATTATTAATAAATTACTTTAAAATTTTGCATATTGTAAAATGATGGATGGAAGCCAAGATTTAAAATCATCTGTTGTCTAAGCTGCAATTTTTTACAATTGAGATGTGCTTCAGATATATCCTTCTTTAAAGTAATCTTTTACTCATAATATAACAGTATGTGCTTAAATATTGCTCTTTTTTCTGTATCTGAAATAGCAGTATGATTATCTAATAAAATAATAGTTATAAAGACTATTTTTACAAACTGTGGCTAAAAATGTATTTATAATCACATTAAGATATGGCTTATGGGTGTTAAAAAAACAGAATCAACACTAATGCAATTTAATGATGCTAGTTAATGTCATAAAATGTGATTTCATATAGCATTGTATATATGAGACTAACAAAAATTTTAACTTTAGACTTTACAGAAATATGAGGTTAGAATTATTGACTTATATAGTCCCAAGCTAGAACCAACTATTCTGAGTGATTTAAAAGGTGTAACTTTGTAGAGAATGACTTTTTGTGGGTCTGATTATAGTTTACACAGCAATGACAATACCATTACAAACAGTATATGAGAGTAGAAACAATGTTGTATACCTTTACTTATGCTCTGCCATTTACATCAGTGATACTTAAAGCATCAACTATTGGAAACAGAATGTGGTATAGTTTTCATTTATTCTGAATTTTTAGTACATTAATCTCTGTGCTAAATAACTTAAATTCTACAAACAACAGTTTTAGATGAAAATATTTGAAAAAAATAGAATTAAGTTGTGCACAACCCGTTATTAACAGCACTATTTCATTTGTTTCCCACTCTAAATTAATTAAAGTTTGCATTTACATTTACTTTGTAAATTAACACTAGTTTGTGAGCAATATTTTGTAGGCTTAAAAAATTGATTTATAAACTGGTACTAAATTTTGCCTAAAAACAATTTGCACTAATTTATAAACTGGTACACTGCATAACATAACAGCAGCCTAACATCATGTGTCCTATATATTTGCCTAAGATCTGTTCCCAAGTAATTTTATAACAAATTCAATTATTCTATCATCATATGCATAGTATCAATCCTATTCCAGAAACTGTTTAAAGCTACTATCTATATTAAATTTACTAATTACATTTATACA